TTTCTCTTGGATTTTCTCTTGAGGATTATCTTTTTCCTTTTTGATATGGTTTATCCTAATGGAAACTTCTCAAGGTCAATCTTACTCTAATCATAATACTTGAATGCCAATCCAACTAGGTCACTGTCAAAATGAATGAAAGCTCATCAATGTTAATCCTGCTCTAATTAGGATACTTGAATGTCAAATCTAATATGTAACTGCCAAGGTTGGGCTATAAATAGGTCTTTTCTCCTTTCCTCTTGTTCTATTCCATGAGAAGATTAGACTGAAGAGTGATGTAGGGAAGAGGCGACGTGAGTGAAGTAGACATGGGTGAGGCAGGCATGGGCACTGAGGTGGCTGGTGCAGGCGCAACAACAGCGTGGCAATAGGTAGCGGGCACCGCATAGGCAACAGGCACCGGTCTAGACGGTGCGAGCACGGGCGAAGGCACAAGTAAGGGCACAAGAGCTGGTCAGAACAATGACGTGGGTGCTCGGGGCGCCGTGGCTGACTTTGGCACATGGGTAGGTGTAGGTACAAGAGCGAGCACAAGAGCTTGGGCTCAAGTGGCAGGTGTTGTGGCACAAGCATTTTGGGCTAGGTGCCAAGAATTAGCTGCGCGCAGAGACAGAGACCAAACAAGTGGAGAAATGATGATGATAGTGCACCTCCTTATCCACGATGACACAAATATCATGATAAAGTGGGTACTAATGATGGTTCTAAGGAGAGCTCCATCTCTAGCTCCCTCAACACTGATGTTGAGATTGCTATTATTATATTCACTTTTTGTATTCCCCATATGGTGTTGTGTCGTCGGACTGAGATGGGGGAGCCAGCCTCTAATGACTCATTGGGGGAAATTGTTATTTATGAGGAGGTACTTGTGGCAGAGTTAAGGTTTCTTGTACCTTTTCTTGTTTGCCGGATCCTTCATTCTTTTTCACTCACGCTAGGACATTTATTGCCCAATGGTTGGAGTGTTTTGCTGGAATTTCTTATACTATGGAGGAGGTGTATTATGATGATGCCTCCTAAAGAGTTTTGCTGCCTATACTTTGAGTGAAACTCCTGCTCCAAACGTGGTTGATATTATTTTACTCTGAGGGAAGAAAAATTAATTGTTGGGCTGTGATCTTGTTTGTAGAAGGAGAGTGGGCTTCAAAGGCCGATAAGGCTTTAGTACTAGTGAGGTGGAGCCTCCCCAAGAGGATAGTTACAACTGTCCTCTTTTTTTTTTTTTGGTATTTACCACATTTTTTCTAGACTCCTCAATGTTCTTAGTGGATTAGGAGTGGAAGCTTTAGGTTGTGAGAGCTTGTCCCGTAAGGGACTACGGGACCCTCATGCCTAGAGAGGGTAAGGCTAGGGACCCCCCTTCTGGAGGTGCTAGGGGTGGTGTGTCTTCTTCCCAAGCTGGCAGCTCATCGAAGAGAAAGGGTATGTTGGCTTTCTTCAAGTTTCTTTCTCTCTTTATTTATTTATTAGGGTAACACTTTACCCTTCTATAGTGGATAGGATAGTGGTGGAGTCCCGTTATTCCACTAGAGGTATTCCTCCACCCAAGATGGCCAGAATGGATAATGTTTTAGTTACCCCTTCTCAGGTGACCACTCCAGTAGCTCCTACCCAGATTGCTTTTTCGGTAATTTTCCTAAAGGTTCCTCTAGTTACCACTCCAGAGGTGATTGTCCCTCTAGAGGCTCCCCAGGTGATCGCTCCTCCTACTAGCCGTACATCTAATACTCCAGCAAGGACTTCTGCAGAGGTAGGTTCTTAGATGCTATCCATGCTAGATGACGTGCGATTGTAAGGGATTGACTTGGAGATTTGTGTCATTTGTAAAGATCGCACAGGTTGGTGCTCAGGGCACCGAGGGCATTATTGACACCATCTTGGGAGGCTTGGCTCAAGTAAACGTTTGTTCTCTTCCTTGCCGTTGTGCCTCTTTTGTGGTGCTGACATTTCTTTATCTTTTTTTAGGATTTTATTGCTTTTGAATGCCTTTTTTCAAAGTCTATTCAGTTCAGCCAGCTATACTCGACCATTAAGGAAGAGAGGCTTGCACAAAAAGCTGTAAAGGGGGAGTTGCTAGTGGCTTAGGAGAGAATTGTTAAGCTTAAGGTTGACGGTGAGGCTTCCCAAGTGAAGTTTGTGGCAACCCGTGAAAGGGCTGCTCTTAATGAGGCTGTTTGCTCTAGGGTAGAGATAGAGCTTATGACGACCCGTGAGAGGGCCGCACATAATGAGGCTGCCTGCACGAGGGCAGAGGCAGAGCTTATGGTAAATTGCGAAAGGGTCATTAAGCTGAAGGCTAATGGTGAGGCTTTCTGCTTGAGAACAGAGACAGAGTTAGAGGCAGCTTGTAAGAGGGTTTCCCTAGCTGAGGCCGATCTGCGATTGGGCAGTGAGAGGGCTGCCAAAGCCAAGGTTGATTTAGAGGGGCGGCTTTGCTGATGTTTTCATTGATGGCTACGAGGAGCTTAGAGGGAAGATTTCGACTGCCTTCCTTGATATTGACTTCTCAAGGCTTGTTTCTTATGAGGTGCCTTGGGCGATGATTATGATGATGATAACGGGGACTCTGATAGCAGAGCAGAGGATGATAAGGAAGAGGATGACGATAACGAGAATAACTAGAGTATTGGAGACTTTTTGATTTTTATTTGTTGTTAGCGAGAGTAGTTAGGTTTTCACTTGTGGGGTTGAACTTCTAACTTGGAATGTTGTGCATTTAAGAGACTGACCATATAGTTTTTGATGTGTACTAGTTATTTTTGTTGCTGAACAGAGTTTGTGGCTCATAGGAAGGGTAGAGCTTTAGAATCGGGTAACATATATAAGTTATATATAAATTTTTAAAAACCTAAGAAAAAACATATAGTTTCGAAAAATTAGATATAAGGTATTTTTGCCCTAAATCAATTCAATCCAATCAGTCTGATTTCTGCATCTGCACTTCTCCCGTCTCTTCTCCACTTCATAGTGACAAACGAACAGGCAAAGAATTTAGTCCAGCGTTTGCCTTGCACAGGGACTCTTTCTCCATGATCTCTCTCTGCAACTGTAAGTGTCTCTCTCACAATTGGTTCAACTTCCTATTCACGCTTTTGTGTATTTTTCTAGTTTTTCGGTAATAGTACATGCTGAAAAAACAAAAACAAAAAGATAAAGTAAAGTCTTATTTGGTTTGCGATTTCAAAAATAATATTTGAAAGCTATTTTTGATAAAAGTTTTAGAAAAGTGTGTTTGGTATTTTTTGTGTCACTGAATTTATTTGGTCATATAATTTCAAGAATAGTTTTACAGAATAGAATACAATAAAATTTGTTTGGATAATAACATAAAAAATAATGAAAACAAAAAAAGTGGTGGTGGTGGCAGGGGAATCGTAGTAGTTGTAGTGTAAGTGTGGTGGTGGTAGTGGTAGTGTTTTATAAATTATAGAAATGTTGCTTAAAAAATCATACAAAATAGTTTTAACTTATTCTCTAAATTTATCCATTTTTTGTCTTAGTTTTCAAAAAATAATTACAAAAAATAGTTGGCCTAACAGTTTTTCTCCAAAAACTGTTTCCAAAAATAAAAAAATAATTTATGAGATGCAAACAAAATAGAGCCTAAATTTCTGAAGTGTAATTTATGGGGCCAATTAATAGTTTGTTCTAGCGGTACTTCAATGTAGAAAAATCTTATGAGTAAAAAATCATCACAAAAGAAACAATAATTTATGTAGCTCAGCTCTAAAAAACTTGTGTCCATGGCTAAACACAAGCTAGGAATTCCCTTTATTGGTACATGAATGGATATAAGATAGGCCGCTTTACATAAGCTTTGTCCTTTAGTACTATACATCTATCTAAAAAAGATTCTATCATATCTATATCGGGGTCGAAGCTAATGTTTTACCGTGTGCTTTGAGTGATGAAGAGTAGGTTTAGTTCTAACGAACTACCGTAATTATGCAGACTCGAACCCAAGTATTGAGCGAAAAAATTCGAGTCCTTACTCACTAGGCCAAACAGCTCGTTGATACAAGTTAGAAATTCGAATATAAGATCAAGGACATACAAAATAATGACCACACCCAACACTTTCCAAGAATTATATTTTTGCTAGATTATTAATTGACCTAATAATTACTAAGGATGTCAAATGTGTCAGGTTAAATAGTTACTTGTTGGGTTAAACGAGTGATGAGTAGAAAATATATAAACCTGTACACGATACGTTTAATAAACGGGTAAAAAATTTAAATACGGACATTACTCGTTTAATAAACGGGTATTACGACACGACTCATTCAATCCGTTTAATTTAAAAAAAATTATATTAACAAATTTTAATACTCCATTTTTTTTTATTGCCAATTGCATTTACCTCAAAAAAGAGACATTTTTAGCTAAATCTTATAAAAATAAGACTTAAAAGCCTAAAAAAAAAAACAAGAGGTCATTGTTTTTTATAAACAACTCAGCCCTCCCCATCTCCCCTCGTTTTCTAATATGGGATAAAAACAAAAGATATTGGTTTGCCTTTGTCTTTGAAGTGTTCTTAATCTCATATCCTTTGTTATTGAACTACTACTTTACTTTTTTTTTTATTAATTTATTTGTTTTTTTTTTATTAAAATTTTAAAATAATTATTAATTTATTATTATGTTAATTTTATTTAAACAGGTAAACGTGTGATAAACGATTTGACAGGTTTCACCCGAACACGACCTGTTTATTAAACATGTTTGACGTGTCATTCTGTTTATCACCCAAATTCGTTAAAATATCACCCAAATTTGCTTAATTTGTATCGATTAATCGTATCGTGTCGAATTTTGACAATCGTAACAATTACATCGCTGACCCGATTCATCTACCGTTTTGATTTTGGATTCGATTCTTACTTTAATTACGGAACCATGGAATAAAAAGAATAGGGGGCTGATTCGCGGGGCGTTGGTAATTTGGTAATAGTAGCGTAATAGATGCGCATTAGTAATAAAGCTATTATGGATGGATGAGGGTTTACACCGGCGGCGGTACAAGTTGGGGTAGGGCGTTACTCTCATCTCGCAAACCCCCGCCTCTTCCTCCTCCGTTTTCATCTATACCCCTGCTTGTGGCGGCGGCGGCGATCGGAACCAACATATTTTCGCCGATTAGGATTCGTGGTTGGCTTCTACGGCCTTCGATTCGTCCACTAACCCGACACGCTTATATTGCTTCGTCTTATTCCATTTCAATTCACAATTCTTGTCCGAAGAAGACTGCCACTGTTTCTGTAATGGGCTCGCAGCAGCAGGCGAAGAAGCTGATATGGCCGGCCAACAAGGTCAGGGACACTTTTATCAAATTCTTCGAAGACAAAGGCCACGTTCACTGGAAATCCAGCCCTGTTGTTCCCTCAATGACCCTACCCTCCTCTTTGCCAACGCCGGTTAGTTCCATCCTCTCTCTCTACACACACACAGACTCATCTTTGTAAAGACACAGACATGAGTATCGAGATTAACGAAGCATTTATTGCCCGTTAGATATACCCCATTGATTGCAATTCAACCTGATTTTCATGTCACTTGGCTGGCATGCTGTTATTTGACAGGTATGAATCAATATAAGCCTATATTCTTGGGCACAGTTGATCCAAACACCCCCTTGAGCAAACTCACTCGTGCTTGCAACACCCAGAAGTGCATCCGAGCTGGTGGCAAACACAATGATCTGGACGATGTCGGCAAAGACACTTACCACCATACTTTCTTCGAGATGCTTGGTAATTGGTCATTTGGGGATTACTTCAAAACAGAAGCCATTGAATGGGCTTGGGAGCTCCTCACCAAGGCAAGTCACCGCACCTTGTAAATCTCTCTCCCCTCCGCCTGCAATTTTGTTTTTTCAGTGACAGCATGTGAATATTGGTGACCAGTTGTTGCAAGACTTAAGAAATTTTGATCGATTTACCTTTTGCTGTCCTTTTTATTACGTATCAAAAAACTGTTAGGTGCAGTGGCTTTACACATTGAAGATGTGCTGATAGTCTGCCATTCAAAAGAAATCAATTGACAAATTGATTTCATATTTTCATTGTTGTATTAATCATTCAGCTTGATTTGGTGCGGGGACCTCTTGTTTTGATGCCCTATGTCATATAACTAGCCTGTGCCTGAAGGCACTAAAAAAAAATATTGTTGTTAATTAAAAGACATACCAAGTAAAAGATAACTAAGGACATTGAGAAATGTATATGAAGGCACTTTTTTTTTATACCTATCAACTTATTTGCATCTAAAACTTCAAAATTAAGCATAAATTTATATAAATTCATCTATTAGTCAATTTCATATTCTCAATCAATCAACAAACACTAAAACCAAACTATGTAGTTTCATAGTTTGCACAAAACAACTTGTAAAGAAGGTTACACAAAAAAATAACTCTGGCAATGGTTACACAATGTTGATGTGAGCTATTTGTTATCAAGTTGATCAATCTCAACTTGTAAATTTCTTTGATGATTGTTTCACTGATATCACAGACAAAAAAATTCCAACTATTTCAATTATTCCACACATAAAACGAAAATCAAATAAATAATTCGTGCAAAAAATCAAAAAAACCAAAGACTCAATCCCATACAGTACCTAGGCCACCCTGAATAAGTGCACAACTGAACTGTTGTAGCTCAGAGCTTCAAACTTACCATGGCTTCGATGGATTTTTCGGTTGTCAACCCTGCAAAGAACATTAAAGAACAATTAAAACAGATTTGTAGATGAGAGAGCGAGGGGAAATAGATTTTTGGCTAGGGAATATGTTAACACGGTCAACTGCTGAGTTGAATCGCCAAACGGTCAACTAAGGGTTGGGCTGAACTTTTTTCTCTTCTCTGACATTTTCTCGATAATCTAGAAATCACCTCATGAAATACGGCAAGAACAAAATACATACACTAATAAACATACACACTCTCATCAAACTGAACAGGTCCAATCAAGCAAAATAGAGACAATCAAAATTTCAAACAAACCAATTCAAGAACTATTAAACAAATTAATATTGAGCATCTTCATCAGCACCAACAAAGATATTCACAAAATTGAAAAGAGCAAAACAGACACACATGTAGATATACCTGTAACAAAGACAAAAAAGCAAAACAAACAAACTGATTTGTCACAACAACATTCTGATTCCATTAAATAATAAGAAAATTCAGTTCATCTACAAACCAAATGGCTTCAAGGATTCAAACCCAAAACATCGCATTCAGTTTCCCTCATCCTTTTTGGATTTTTTCCCATTGGTTGACCTTCTCCTTAGCACCCTGCAAAAAATTAAAAGTCATAACACCATGAAGCATTAAATGTTATTATCTTCATGAACATTGATAACACAAACTTCCAACAAAAACAAAAAATTAATGCTAAAACACACCTCCAAGCCTAAAACTATTAGAAGCAAACAATCATAACATAAACCAATCATCTTTATCATCTTTAGTAACATCTACAAAAGCCTATTCCTTTGTAAGAAACATGTAAGCATTTTCTAACAACCACAACTATTGGCCATATATTCCCCCTCACCTCAAGCTAATGCCACTTTTTGGACCCAACCAAAGGGAAAATTTATGCATATTAGTGCTTATCATCCATCATAATAATACACTAATGAGAACCAAATAACCTAATGAGAACCAATTAAATCAAACAGAAAAAAAAAGGGTATTAAAATTGAGAGACCCAACTCAAGAAAAAAATGGGCGGTGGGATCCTGATGATATTATTTTAAAATTCTTGAATGTTTTTAAGGTTTAGTTTCAAGCACCTAGTTGTTTACTTCAATTGTTTAATTCATGTTCTTTTGAATTTGGTCGATTTTTGTTCATGGATCTTCACCCAGTCACCTTCTCAAATAATACCACCCCAAAACTGAAGACAAAACTTTTTGAAATTAAAGGATATCACCTCTTTCACATTTTATAAACACATAAAATCACCTAATTAACATGTTCACTCAAATGAATATGCATTTCATTGATACCTATAATGAGATCCTAATCTTTTGCGGTTACAATTGTGTCACACACTAACAATCATTCAACTTTGATCAATTCAAAATCACAAAAAATCATTGTTTTGTGTTAAAGGTAATAATTTAAAAAATAATATCAAAACATAAATAATTTAATTTACTGTTGTCTCGGCGAGAAAAATTGACCGCTCTACAATATCGATTTTCTTTGTAATTTCAAAATTCCGCGATCCACGATTCATCTACTTTACTGGAGCATCCTATCAGCTAGAAAATGCCAACAAAAATGAAAATAAAATTTATAGACTTTTTGTAAGTATGGGAGTAAGGAACTAAATTACCAAATGCCAAATTTTGGCAAAACAGAGAAGTACAAAAGTTACTTTATAAAAGGAACAATACCTTTTTTTTTAGGTTTTTTCACGAAACCCATCTACAGAAAAAATAGATATGGAACAAAACAAACTAATTCTACCAAATCAATGAAAGGCATCAAAACCAAGCATCCCACTTAACCAAATTCGAAAGCATTAAACTTACCAAAATGAAGGACCTATAAACATTCCAAACAACATATAAAAACCCCTAAATTCCTACTTGCTTAGCGAACAGATAAAGTCACCATGTGTTCAGTTGTGTGTGTGCCGTAAATGTTGGGTGTGTGCGTGTTGTGTGTGCGCTCTGAGAGTTATGGGCATTTGGTAGAACACCTTGTTTGCGTTGTGTGTGAAGAAAACAAGAGAGAGAGAAGTAGAGCGAGAGAGATGCAGAGGAAACAAGTACAGTATTGTACCCGGAGAGACAGATGATAAGCGGAGAGAGAGAAAATAGATAGCGAGAGAAACAACGGCTGGAGAGAGTAATGAGAGAGAGGGGCAGTGGCCAATTGAGAGGGGCTCCTTTCTAGGGTTTGAATTGGGAGAGACATTATTTCTGTATCACCAAGTATGGAAAGGGAAATTAAACAACAAACACAAAGGTAAAAGAGAAAAAAATAATGCAAAGATCAATAAAACGCACAAACAAAAAAGAGCAACACATAGGAAAGTCATCGCAATTAGGTATCACTGACTAACCAATGCATGGCCATAAATTCACCAATACCCTTAATCAAGATTCAAGCAAACAACCAGAATCGTAAAAGCGAGTGCGTTTTACTCAAGCACATAATATAACACTTCTTATGCCAAAACAATACAAAAATGCAATACCCAAAAAAAAAAAAAATTAAAGAAAGGACATGAGGTAAATGGCAGAGAAGTGTTCTTCAAGAAAACTCAATCTTTCTGGTCAAACTTCCCTATTTCCCAATAATGATGCAAATTTAAGAAAGCCCATCACATGAGCATTATATTATATGAAGATCACTTCGTGGGGGAAAAATGACACTAAATAGATTCTCTAATTAGCAACTAAACCATTCTCTAACCCCGATAGTCTGCGTCAAGCAATTTTGCATAGTCAGTTTTCGAATTCAAGCATGTTATCTTTCAATGGTGCAGATGGTCACTTGTTTGCTAGTTCAATATCAGGTCAATTAACTTGAGTGTCAACAAGAACCAAAGGGACCCTCGGTTATTCCCTACTTTTAGCTAATCAGATCATAAAACATCCAATGTTAAGCATAATAAAAAAAATGGCCAAGATCAGGAAGCAAGTAGAACCTTAACTTAGACTAATCAAACTCGCACCTTTGCAATGCATCTCATAACGGACATTTTGGTTCAGAATCCTCCAAGATGTGATTTACTGAGAGGATCATCAAGCATCTAGTTCACATTGGATCAAACTAATGTTGACAGAGCAGACATAGGAAATTCATAATTTCAACACATTATACCCCAAAAAATAGGTACACAGGAAATTCATAATAATAATCTATAATATAAAAGCAACAAAATTTTTGTTTGTCATTCCAACAAACACTTGGTGTCCAAAGTGTGTGGGTTTGTTTGTGATGTGTGTTGGGTCTGTGTTGGGTGTGGGTGTGGGTGTGTTGGGTTTGTTTTTGTGTGTGTGTGTGTGTGCGATTTGTGTGTGGGTGATGAGTGTGTATGTGTGTGGTGTGCTCTGTGGGTGTGTGTGCAATGTGATATCGATCACTCTCCCTAATGGGCATTAATGTGTGTTTGTGTGTGTGTGAGAGAGAGAGATTAGGGATACCTGTGAGGGGTTAGTAGTGGCGGTGGTGCTGCTGAAGAAGTAGCGGAAGTGTTGGGGACGTAACTGAGAGAGAGGGGTCAGAATTTTGAATGAGTGAAAGGGAGGAAAAAAAAAGAAATAGAAGATGTAGCCGGAGAGGTATGGCTCTTCTGACAGAAGGGACGGGGAAAAAGAAGAGACCGGTGAGGTGACTGAATATTGATTGAGAGGTTAAAATTTTGAAAAATATTGTGTGTGAAAAATGATGATTTTGGGGGGAAAATTGATGATATTGTGGATGATTTTGGGTAGTTGGATGAATTGATTTGAGATCGTTGGATGTTGATGCCACCCTGTTTTATATTATAGATTTTAATATTAGGCTTAGGGTGCAAATTTGGTCTCAAACTTGGTTTTGTAGCTATGAAGTACGGATACTTCGTTAAGGTCGACGACGTATATTGGTATTAGATACGATACTCGTTGGTATTGGATACACACCAAACGTATTCAACAATAAATAAAATATATGAATATTTCGCGGATACTTCTATATGTGGAGAAGCATATGTAATTTTTAGTTTTAATCTTTATCCCTTCTTTTTGATTTCACATATAACGCAATACATCAACAAAAAATTATATGACTTGGAAAGACATATGTGTGTTTTAAGTATTATCCATTATCACATGTCCAAAGAGTTTAAATGAGTTGATTATTCCATAATTTTAGCAACAAATGTTTTTAAGCAACTAATATAGTTAAAATGTTGGTTCTTATTCCTTTAAGCACATTGTAGATGTACCATAGTGACATGAAATATAAATTTTTGAAAATAAAAAATTATTAATGTTGTTTATTATTGTTAAAGAATTACTAAAAATTATAGACATCAAATCATTACACAATAGTAAAAATATAAATAATATATTTATAGACGTATCCCGGCCATATTCGTATTGTATTTTTTGGGATTTTGTTGTATTTGTATCGTATCCATATCTTGTATCTGTATACGTGCTTCCTAATTTTATAGTCTTGGTCTTCTTTATTTCCTCTTTCTTTTTTTCTTTTGAACTTGTGGGAATGTACTATACTCTATCATTTGACCTGAAATCCGCTTAATCAAGAATACATTCATTGAAATCAATTTTCTAACTCAGAAAATCATAAAATTGACTTCTTTAACTCTTTTTATGCTACGTGTTATCTTTCATTCGAAATCAAATTGTGTCAAATCCAAAGATTTGGAATTAACTTGCATCTGCATTGCTTGTTGATTATTTTCTACTGATAGTTGTTTGAAATAGCTGATGATCTTATCCTTTGTTTTGTCATTGCTTTTTGGTCTGCAGGTTTATAGATTACCTGCTGATCGATTCTATGCCACCTATTTTGGTGGTGATGAGAAATCTGGTCTTCCTGCTGATGATGAGGCTAGGGACATGTGGCTCAAATTTCTTCCACCTACACGTGTGTTGCCTTTTGGGACTAAAGTATGGTTGCTCCTCTTTTTGTTGGCCCTCTTATATTCTGTGATGACAAGCATTATGATACTTCTTGGTGAATCCTGTCTCATGATATCAAAGTGTGCAATGAATGTTATAGTGAATTATTTTCTGTACCTTCATAGGACATAGATTTCATTTTTAAATCATGAGGGTCTTCAGAATACCAGTCTTTTTTTTTCCTTTATGCCTGCTTGAGGAAAATGAGAACCTTTTCCCTGGAGAAATAAGGAATTGAATACCCAAAGAAAGTGAGAATGAAAAAGAGAAAAATAAAGAGGTGGTTATATATTATACTTCCGTTTCAGTCCTAATCCTTAAAACATTGTTGCAGGGCCCGATCAAACATGAAATAATGATATTGACAAATCAGCTAGTTAGATCAACCTTGATGCATAATGTTTATATTTGTTGCTTTGAGCAGGACAACTTTTGGGAGATGGGCGATACTGGACCGTGTGGACCATGTACTGAAATACATTTTGATAGAATTGGGAATCGAGATGCAGCTTCAATGGTTAACAACGATGACCCAACAGTGATTGAGATATGGAATCTTGTCTTTATTCAGGTAACAGTTTCCATCTAGTAGACAATTTATCTCAGGAGTTTCTGTGCACATAACTTCAAAAGATTTCACATGTTTTGGAAATATGGGCCTGCTGATATTGTGGGTGTCATGCATATTTGCATGTGTATTGTGTGGTTGGACAATCAAGTCTAAAATATGTGTGCCGTGGATTCATGTCTCTTTTTTTAGTGCAGCATTATAGTTTGCCTTTTTTTCTGAGTTTGACATGGTGTTGAATTTTCTTGATGTCTCTCCCACAGTTTAACAGGGAAGGTGATGGTTCTCTGAAACCGCTGCCTGCTAAGCATGTTGATACTGGAATGGGTTTTGAAAGATTAACGTCTATTCTTCAAGAAACAATGAGCAATTATGATACCGATGTGTTCCTACCCATTTTTGATGCTATCCAGCAGGTAAGATGATGACATGTTGGACATTTTGTAAGTAAGATTAGAGTGAGTAGTTGCCAAATTGTTCTACGATTAGAACATCTATGGTTGTCCTTTCAATATACTGATATTTTTCTGAGTGAGATTGCAGTTTCATTAGTTTTGCATCAACACAGAGCTACTGTCTTCCTTTCATGATTCGTATGATGACCCCATAAAAACAGCCTCAATATTTTGTTTTGTTTTGTTTTGTTCTCTCTGTTTTCCATCCATTTCCATCTCTCTCTCTCTCTCTCTCTCTCTCTCTCTCTCTCTGTCTTTCTCTGTCTGTCTCTGGTTTGTTTTGTTCCCCCACCCCTCTTCTGGGTACAATTCATGGAAGTTGAGCTTCTCTCATGATGTCTAGTTTTGGTAAAGTGAGCTATGGTAATCTGCCACAAGCATGACTTTTTTAAGGATCATTTTTGATTAAGAGTACTGAAAACCATATTTTATATCGGAAAACAAATATTATGCATACTTCCGGTAAATATGGAGAAGATTTTTTCATGTTGGAGCTGTGAATCTTTGATAGTTGAAAGAAATAATTCATACCCCTTCAGTCTGTGGCTTTGTTGGGTGAACCAAGTAAATATATATCTTATATGAATTCTAGAGGTATTCATACTTATTTGGAAGACTTCTTTGAAATTTTTCCCTATGAAGTTATCATAAGCGGAAAGATTGAGGTACTCTGGATGCAGATTGCAGAGTTTGGTATGACTTCATTGGTACTTGAGGATTAATTTATGGTCTTGGTGTTTGTTTTATGCTTGTTAGCGTATTAACATAGATGGCACTATTGTAATGACTATATGCCCTAAGAGGTATATTAGTCCTTTAGTATCATTTCCACACATATCTATACATACACACATACATATATATATATATATATATAATATGGTGAGAGAGGAAGTAGATTAGTGTGCCCCTCACGTTTTTCTCTTCTCTCTTCTCTCCAAACCCAAATGCACTCATTCACATGATATTGATACCTGGGCTTCAGGTAGTTGGTGGGTTTCTCACCCAGTTAAATTCTGTCTATTTTGTGTTTTGGTTCCGCTCTAGTCTGTTTCTTGGTGTATTTCAGTTCTGTTTGTTAGCTCATGAGTGAGTTTGGGTTGCATGTGAGGGACGCTATGAAAGGACTTATCCCACATCAGGAAATTAAGTAGACCAAAAGATTGATTTATATACTTTAGGGGTCATTATTTTGAGCCTTGAGCAGACCATGTTTCATTCATCCAAGGGCTGGTTCAATGCTTGGGCTGTGGACCAAGGAAGAGTAAATGTCGAAATTCTTTAGGACAAAGTGGAAAGTGCTGATAATTAATACTGGCACTTGGTTGCAGTATCCACTGACTAGATTTGTTATGGTTTGGTGAGAATCATTATGTGGTTGTTTGTTCTGTCACCATCACTCGTATGCATGGTCTAAATTCTGCTTCCAATTGCTTTACGTTTCAGATTGCACTGCTCTACAGCATTTTTTTTTCTTAAACCTTCTTTTTGGCTTTTCCAATTTTTGGCAGGCAACTAAAGCTCCTCAACCATATACGGGCAAAGTTGGACCAGACGATGTGGGCAAAGTTGACATGGCATACAGGGTTGTTGCTGACCACATTAGAACTCTTTCATTTGCCATTGCTGATGGTTCTTGTCCAGGTGGAGTGCTAGAAACTTGGAATTGGTTCTGCTTTTGCTGCTTTACTTCTCAGTGGTGAATTAGAGGCATTGCTTTTACTCTTTCTTCGTTGCAAACTGGAACCTTTTATATTCAAAGGTCTAAAAGATCATGGAGGTGTTTCCAAAGGTTCTGTTTGATTTTTCCAGAATTCATTTAAAGGCTTTCAGGCCGTGGGGGCTTATTCCTATGTATTTATCAAACTTAAAATTTTGATAAATACGTTTGACTTTGGCAAGCTTTGTATGTTATTAAGTTTCATTTTCTTTTGAACTTTTTGTTTCTTGTATATGCTCGCTGGCAGTGCGATGATGGGCTCTTTGTTTTTTTCTTCTTTTTCAAAAATAAATTCTATTGTGAAGAGGGAAGTTATTTTTCACTTTCTGAGGCAGCAAAGATTCAATAGCATTCTGTGCACATATGTTTGCTGACTGGTAATATCTAACGATATTTACTCATGTTAAATTGATTGTATTCTGTACTCATTACTAGTTTCCTGTTTCTGTTGCTTGTTTTTTTTTTTGGGAAAGAAGGGGGTGAGAGGGGGGAGGGGGTTCATTATGGGTAAGTGGTTTGTTTTTTGGTTATGTGGCAATTTGGTTTTCATTATTCTTGTTAATCGTCTCTTAGAAACATTTTTCTTACTGGAATTTATGATGATTTTGCTTGTCATCCAGGCAACGAAGGGCGTGAATATGTGCTAAGACGCATTCTTCGTAGAGCTGCACGTTATGGTACTGAAATCCTGAATGCTGAAGAAGGATTTTTCAATGGGTAGGAATGGCAAATTGGGTTTCTTGTCGTGGTCTAGTGTACTGATAGTTTTGTAGTTTTATATTGTAACCTTGCTCATCTTGTTCCCTTTCAGATTACTTAACTGTTATCATGTGGATATTAAAATTAACATCACTCTATCCCTATACTCTTAGTGTTGCTATTAATCATTTGCTAATAATTGTGTGGAATATAGGCTGGTAAAGGTTGTGGTGGAAGTGATGGGTGATGTTTTCCCAGAACTGAGACAACATGAAGCACACATTAGGGAGACAATTGCAGAGAGGAAAGAAGTTTTGGCAGGACTTTAAAACATGTAAGTTAGATCTTAGATACGAGGCTGTGTACACTCACATGCTGTGCTAGAACCTGATATATGGCACCGTAGATGTAATATTGCTGAGCACCTTCTAGATACTTTCTTCAAAGCGGCATGCTTCAGTTAAATTTTATTGCAAAAAGTTGTGGTAATGTCCTTGTCAATTGCAATCTAAGAAGCACAGACACAGACACGGGACATGGAGACACGACATTTCTAAAAAAAAGTAGAAAACGGACACGTTAAGGATACGTTACACAAAAATTATATTTTACATATAACGTCATATAATTTATTACAAATATAGTGATAATAATATGCAATTGACAAAAGATTCATTATTTTTTGATAATTAAATCTCATGCGTAGTCATTTCTGTGAACTTTTAGACTTAAAACATTATTATAATAGTCAATAATCATCAATTTTTTTTTACAGACAATGTTACCTACTATACAATTTTAAATAATTCGTCTCATTTTTAAAATTTTTATGCATCTTTTGTTTTTATTATTATATTTGGAGTACAATTTTAACATGTCTAGTATTAGTAATTATATATTTTCAAAATTTTAAACTTTGTTAATTACATTTCAACACATGTTTATTGTTTAATAGTAGACATGTTCCAAAGAAGTGTCAGATATTTGTCTGAAATATTTTTTTTTTTATTTAATTATGGACACGGATAAAAGAGTATTGGACACGCGTTCGAGAGTGTCGGTGTCCGACACTTATCCGCTATGGATACATCACCTTCTCGAGAGTGTCCATGCTTCATAGATTGTAATGCCAGGATTCCCTCTGTAATTATATCCCTTAGATCAAAGTGAGTAGTGTCTCTTAGGCCAATTCAGAGGATGTGACTTTCGCTTTTGACAAAATTTCCCTAGCATGCTCGCGTTGTTGAGAGTGCCTATGATATTCTACTTCAGTTTTCCCAAGCCTGAGTGCAATATTGACAATGTATCATCACAGCAACGGGCTGTCACTGATACTCTCGTTGTGTCGAAATCATTTTTTTGTGAGGGATAGGCAGCCAAAAGGATGTGTGGACTGAACTGTGCTCAACCATTCTCACAGATCTAGAATTTCCCAAGAATCTTGTCATCCTTCTGTTCTCGGTTAAATCATATGTAAGGCAGCACACAGTTAATTTTTGGCTCTCCTTTTCTTCCTCAGGGAAGGCCTTATCAAATGCACCACACCCCTAGCCCCATCTAAAAAAGGTAATGGATAGCAGTTAAGCAAGTATGTGATCCACCATCAGTCCAAATTATGGTGCATGGACCTTACAAAAACCATTTCAACCCCTTTTGATGAGTGTTTATTCATGCAAAATTCAATGAGTTTCAGGATCTACATTAATTTAGTGAGGTTTAGATCATATTTGGATGGTCTTGAGTGACTATGAATGAATACTTGATAGTTGTGTTTTACTAAAGAGACCAAAGATATGGAATCATGCCAAATTTGAAAGAAGTAGACTTGTTGAGAGATTTGGTTTTTAGAACTATGGAAATCCGATGCCTTACTGTATGAGCAATGGGTTTATCTCTTCCTGTACTGTCCCCAAAAGAATTGAAAAAGAAAAAAAAAAGATAAAAATGTTGCAGCCCAAAAGAAAAAATCAATGAAGAAACAAAATCGGGTTTCCAAACTTCCAATGACATTGATGAATAATGGACCCTTTGGACCTCCGACCAATGGGTGATGACACATGCATGCGTGCTTCTAAAGAGTGGGTTCCAAACCTGGGTGGCACTATATAACTCAATCCATTAGAAGGCTATTGGTGGATTATTTCTATTTTAGAATCAACTCTGAGATAGAGGAGATTTAAGGATATTTTGTCGAGATAAGGACTTGAAAAAAAAAGTAGAATAGTCGCAGAAGTAAGGTCTCAGACTCGCAGAAGACAGGTGAAAAGTCTCTCGAGGTTTCGCCGCGAGGGTTGAACAGGGTAATTTAGAGAGTGTTCAAAGGCTGGTACAGGCCAATCCGAGTTTTCCGAAGAACAGAACCCTTCCAAAGAAGCTCCCTATGGTGTCCCTGGTGCCAGTGTGCTAAACGATCTTTTGAGACTGAGCAAACCTCCGGTTTCGGACGTGAGTGACTTCCACCACGTCAAGGCTCCGATTAGCTCAATACGATTAACGGAGATGCTATATCCTAACCTTCCTTTGTGCAAATCATGCTTGCGATCACCAAGTGCTGTATGAAGTCTTGCTCTTGAGGGGGTTTTTACTTTTAACCACTGCCCAAATTATTCCTGCCTCTTTGCTTGTGGGAATTCTTTAGCCTTTATTTCCTTGATCACATTTCCCAAACAAGTCCTCACTTGCATAGGAGAACGGATTGTGGAAGATGATTTCTCTTCTATTGATGAAGGTAGCATATTTTGTACTTACTGTACAAAGCATGCTTTGAAGTAAACTTATTCTATGCTGATGCCTTAATAATTAACCTCAAATTCTACCACTTAGGCGGCGCAAGTCCACTAATTTTTTTTTTTTTCAAATATGCATCAAAATACTGCAAACTTCTCTTTGCTTCAGGTGTTCTTTCTTTCCATGGAAGGATCTTTGTTTTTTTTTTTTAAATATGAATATGTTATCTCCTTGTCTTATAAAGACAATGTGAAGTTTATGAATGTTGAACTGATCATTGACATGTTTTCAGGGAATTGAGAAATTTGTGAAGGCGGCTGAGGAGGTCAAAGGAAAGATACTAAGTGGGCAGGCAAGTAGATAGTTGGTTTCATCTTTCTATTTGCCCAATTTTAATTTCTTAAACATTGTGCTGCACTATGTAGTCTGTGTTAAGCTTGATATCAATCGGTATTTTTTTAATTGATTATAGGATTCTTAACAGTGATATTGTGCTCTTATGCTACACATGAAATTCGTTTCACCTTATTTTACCTTCCCACATATGCCCCCCTCACTTCGTTGTTGCTGATGTTATATCAACTAATGGATGCTTTGTTGTTGCCTCCCCTCTTGTGGGGTATATATATGGCAATTTTGTATCCAACAAGACAGGCCCTAATAGATCACAATTTTGGTTTCCAATGCTTATTTACTTAGGTGCCAAAAAACTCTGATTTTGTTTTTCAGATATGTGCATCTAGGAGTGTCGATTGAGTCGTGCATCATTTCGGATTTGTAGTAGTAGGCAACTCTTACCTAACTCATTTAATTAATTTCATCATTAACATAAATTATTTTTTATTGTGTTGTCTACTCACATGACCTGTGATAAAAAATCCAGGACTAGAGTCCCCTTCTATCAACCAGACCCCCACCACTCAATGACCTCTCATCTAGGATGCACGAATACTTCTCAAGGGGTGTCGTGGTAATGTCGGACACATGTCCATCACTTACACGTGTCGGACACAGTCGGACACGGTCAGGGCCAGGACACGACCAAGATATATATGACTCTTAACTATTAAGAGGGGTATGATTTTTTTTTTTTTTTTTTTGGTGTGTGTTTTTGTTATGTAACTTATATACTATGAATGTTAATAGAGGTAATAATGTTTGGTGAAAATGGTGGATGTTTATTTTGATCTATTTCAATTTTAATCAAAAAAATTAATATTTGATAGGTTTTATTATTAATACTATTATAAAATATGCTTTGTTTTAATATATTATAATTTTAATTTTTAATTAGCCATATTCTTGTCGTACCCCTGTTCTATATTTTCGATCTTTGTCGTATTCCCGTGTCTGCATTGTATCAGATACGAGACCCCTTTCTGTATCAATGCTTTCTAGCCTCTCATAAAGTGAAAATCCACTCGATCTAGATACTAGCAAAAAATAGAAAAAATTCAAATTCTACACATACACATGCAATATCATATAGAAAAAGTTTGTCTTATCAAAATTGGATTATTCGAATTTTAATCTAATTGTTTTTGCTTATTGTTTTAGTTAGTCGTGTTGTGGGTTCCTCTCATTTAACGGTCAATCCTAACTCACTAATTTCTTATTGGGTTCATGCCATGTCAAAAATTGCCTCTACTATTTGCATTCAAGAGAGATGGCAAACATTCGACGTGTGTGTTTTGAAATGGTTTTTATAAGAAAGACATAAGCAATATAATGTTCTCTTATCATCCTTTGTTTTTTGTTCCTGCACGACTATCTTCTTTTCACCTTTACGAAGATCCTTAAAAGCTCAAAAAAGAAAATGATTTTGAGGTTTGCCTCTACATCTTGGTGGTTGTAACTCCCAGTTGGCCGGGGTTTAGGTAAGTAGTGATCTTGTTAGGTGTATGCCATATTGGACTAAGGCTAGTTAAGTCGGTTTTTTATGTGCTTTCAAACTCCCCAATATATGAAGATTCACGAATCAATGAACCTTTTTCTAAATTTTCAAACTCTTTTTCTGTCTTGTGTTTTTTCTTTTTATGATATGTGATGTTCATTCCTGATGTAGCTGGTACTGTGATGGAAAACTTTGTTATAATAGTATGCTCCTACAATTCCCATGCATTATATACCAGAACTCTTTTTTTCTTTTTCATATTCTCCCATATTTCATGAACTTTGGGGATATGGATGATACTTTATGCCACTCCATGGGATTTCCTTTACCTTTCCTTGGGATTGAACTTCGGGGATATGCTATACCTTTGAGAATTTGGATTATTGGATTGTTGCGTCAGCTTCTGGGCCTCTTACCGTGTTTATTTCTTGGCTGCAGGATGCATTTATCTTGTGGGACACTTTTGGCTTTCCGTTGGATCTGACTCAGGTGAATAGAGTTTGTTTTTTAGTTTTATGTATTATTCTATATAAAATCAGCTACTAATGAGTTTTCCCTGACCAGTTGATGGCAGAAGAAAGAGGCTTGGTGGTTGATGTTGAGGGTTTTAATAGTGCTATGAGTAAGGCCAGGGAACGATCTAGGAATGCTCAAAATAAGGTAGCAGGCTTAATTTTGCTACTTTATTTACATCCATCATAGCAATAG